AAAAAAAAAGAGCTAAAACCAAACAAGCAAAGGACCTCTTAGGTTATACCTCAATATTACTTCCTTTAAAAACAATCTCTGCATCAATATTTCTAAGCAATAGTAATCAAGGGGAAAAATAATAGTTTCAGACAATATATTGACCCAACCTCGATTTCTGAAAAAGAAGACAATTTGAGCACCTACTGATGAACTTCAAAAAACTATTGCCTTTTTCTGGATTATATCTTATAAAGAAAATAAAAAATTCTCACAATAGGATTAATAAAGAATACCACAATAAATGGAGAAATACTGACATTTTTAAGGATTTAATTTTATTTTGATTTATAGTCAATATTCACAGAAGTAGGCATCATAAAGTCAAATTATATAATATACTGTGAATATATTGCCAAGGAATGCTTTAAAGTGTTAAAAAGTAAAGCTGACACTCCAAAGACTAAGGCGTACCCGACATGGTATCTGCAATCATTACATATGCATGTGAAATTTTGATAATGTATAATGAAGACAGAAGATCTGATTGGTTGAATTGCCGTGCTGGTGAATAACAGTGAATATTAAATGGTTATCAGAAGAACAAAAAAATATGACTTACAAGTAGTACAGCCAGGAGGCTTCTTAGCAGTCAACATGGAGAGATTCTTATACAAATGGGTATGCTATCAGGAAAGGATAGTCTCTGGAGAAAGACATCATGTTTGGTAAAGTAGAGAGTCACTGAAAAAGACAAACACCTTCAAAAATATCAGCTGACATAGTGGCTGCAAGAGTGGGCCAAATGTAGCACCTACTGCTAGGACAGAGCAGATTAGGATTCTGGTCTAGTGTATTCAGGGCTTCTATGTGGTGGAGCCAATTTGATAGCACCTAATAATGTAACGAAAAGACTATTTAATTAATTAGCCTACACCTGTAGAAGGTCCATGGGAAGCATGCTACTGAGAGAGAAAATTCCAAAAAAGAAGGAAAAAAGCCTTTGCCATAAAAGCTAATTAATGTGAGAAAATGAACAAATAAAACATGGAAATAAAGTGAGAATTAAACACTCACAGAAAGCATATTTTGGAAAACCATCAGTATTTGTGGTTCATTAGCCATATGGAATCTTTTTTATTTTTATTTTTTGAGCAACAAGAAGTAAATAAAAGACGTGAAAAATATAAGAATAGAGACAAGAAGAAGAAAGAAGATACCAATAAAGTATAAAGAGTAACTTACAATAGACATCCATTGCTTAAAGCAGAGCTATCTTAGGGCCAAGCAGAACACTGCAGCAAGCAGAGGCTGGAGGTCATGATATAACAATGAGCAAAAACTTCAGAAAAAAACAGGAAAAAAGCTTCAACTGAAGAATCTTTTAATATCTTAAGGATAAGGAATAGTAAAAATATCATCAAAATGCAGAGTTTACTAAAATCATTGGCATCTTATTTCATGTACTGGAGAAATTACTTACCCGATTGATATGGTTGTTCCTTAAAATAACCTGTAGTAGAGTTTTCTCTAATTCTTCCAACTTCTTGGAGCATTTATTAAGAATGTGATTAGATAAGTTGTGATCACTGAACAGTTTTGCTACAGTACAAACAGCTTCTGTTTGAAAGCTTGAAAAAGGAATTTGGGGATTATTGTAAAAAGTAATCAAGCCGTCCAGCAACTGAAAAACAGCATCAGATACTGTGGAATAGTCATTTTCAAACTTAGTTAGATCTGTTTTCAGAGAGTCTGATTCGGTGAAGTTCTTCAATTCAAACAGGTGTTGTAAGAATTGCATGTGAGAAGACAGTGGGTTTTCTGTAGTGGCGGAGTGACTTTTCATAATGGGCAGTGGTTGGAAGGGTATGAGAAGACAATTCTCCATGCAATGCTGGGATGTCTCTGACTGCTCCGTTCTCTGCTCATTTGATAAGACACATCCAGAATCTTCCTGCAGAGTCGGTGTGTTTTCAGGGCTTCTAGGTTCTTGGGAAGGTGGGTGTTCTGAAATAAGAATGGAAAAAGATTATTGTTTATACCTAAAATATGCTCATATAAAAATGAAACACTCATTTTTCTAACATTAAGAATAAATTGAAACATGGAATTTACATATTAAATATTTTTTAAAAATCACACTATAAATTCTGTGAAAGAAATTGTCACCATAGTTTTTATCTTTACCAACAGAAAAGAATGGTGACTGATCCTTCAGGCTACTAGTTGCTAGGAGAGACTACTCTTTGAAGAGCAACATGCTTGAAAAGGTGGAGGATTGATGAAAGAGAGGAAGACCCTCAACCAGACGGACTGACATACTAACTGCAGCTACAGCCTCAAGTGTATCAGGGACTGTGAGGGTGGCACAGAATAGAATGAGATTTAGGTGTGTTACTCACAGTGTTGCACTGATTAATACTCAACAGTGCCTAACAACAAGTTTTCATGTAGCAAACTCTGGTAGTCTAGTGGATAGGACCCAACAGCAGGAGGTTCTGTGAGAGAAAGATGGGCACTCTTCTCCCATGCAATTCACAGTCACTGGAGCATCAGGGAGCCTAGTGGCAAAGAGTAACACTGTCAACCCAAAGGTACATGCTTTGAATCCACTAACTGCTCATGGCAGAAAGATGTGCAATCTCCTCTTGTGTGATTTACTGCCTCTGAAAGGACGCTGGAAAATCAGCTATGAGTTGGTTCCAAATCGATGGTACACAACAGAAGATACTGAGTTTGGAGTTTTGGGCTTTCATTTAGCTATTTGGAGAGCCACATGAAGATACCCACAATATTATGTGAAAAGTCTGGAGAGCATTATGCTGAGTGAACAATTCAGTGTCATAAGGACAAATATTGAATAAAACCATTATTGTAAAAAATGCACATTGTATGAGGATGGCCAGGAGTGAAAACACAGAGTAGCACAACTTGGTGGGGAGGGGTGGGGTGAAGGAAATAAGGATCCAAAAAGGACCTCAAAAGACAGAGTCAGTTCCAATGGTGATTAAGTTTATAAAATATAATGCATGGGAATGATTGTATAAAATAAACTGGCAATTAAAAAGTGTGAAACACTATGTATGCAACCTTTGTAAGCAAATCAATATAAAATAAAAAATTACAATTATGAATGATACAGCATACAAAACCAGAAGACAAAGTCTGAAGAGATCACAGTAGGGTAGAGGTCCCAAAAGTATTCACAAAGTAGTAAGTTATATCCAGAGATAGATATCCAAAAGAACAAAAGAAGAAAAAATAAAATTGAAAAAAAAAAAACCAAAAATGGAGATAGATACCAACATGTGGTTGTTGTTTTGTATTGTCACATTGCTTGCAACTCATAGTGACCATATATACAACAGCTCTTAAGCCTGCACTGTCCTGAGTCAGTCTCACTGACTCTGACACACTTGCCCCCATTTACCCAGTTACTGTGTCCAATTCACCTCATCTGGGGTCTTCTTCTCCAGCCTTTCAAGCATAAAGTCTAGATACCTATACAAATAAATAAATAAATAGGTCTGTCATACTGATCATCTACATTTTTTTCCAGCATAAAGTCTTTTTCAAGGACAGTTGTTGTTGTTGTTGTATTAATTGTCTTCAAGTTGAGCACGATTCACAGCAACCCTACGAACAAAAGGCCTGAAGTCCTCTCTACAACTATCGACATTTATCAAAGTTCATAGTTTCCAGAGGCATGTTATTTAGGAGATGCCACGTCTGCTTCTAGTCCCTTCTGAAAATATGCCCAAAATGAGATGAAGTTTCAACATTTTTATTTCTAAGGAATGTCCTAACTACAGTTACCCTAAGGCAGATTTGTTTGTTGTTTTCACACTCTGTGGTATATTCAAAACTATTCCACAGCCATTTCCCCCCCCATAATCTTCAAGATCTCACTTGTATTTATTATAAATGAGGTTGTTGCTGGTGTTATCTACCACTGAGTTGGTTGCAACTCATAGTGACCCTATGAACAATAGTTCTAAACCCTACCCTATCCTGAGCCAATCTCACTGTCACTAATACACCTAACCCCCCTGCCCTGGTAACTATGTCAATCCATCTCATCTAGAGTCTTCCTGCACTGCCCTCCATCATTCCAAACACAATGTCCTTCTCCAAGAACTGTTCTCTCCTAGTCACATGCTCAAAGTATGTAAGACAGAGCTTCAAAGTTTTTGCCTCCAGAGAGCAAGTTGCCTTTACCCTCTCCAGACAGACTGTAACTGTCAATGGTATGTTTAAGACTCTTCTACAAGACTACAACCCAAAAGCATCAATTCTTCTTCTGTAATCCTTAGTCATTATACAGCTGTCTGATGTATGGCATGTAAATGTGAAAACCATGGCCTGTGAAAAGGCACAACTTAGTCTCTAGACGGACACCATTGCTTTTTAGCACTTTGTAGAGGTCCCTTACAGCAAGCATATTTTCCTAATGCAATGGGTCTTCTGATTTACTGAATGCTAGTGCCAAGAGTGTTGATTGTGGAGCCAAGAGTGTTGATTGTGGAGTCAAGTAAGCTGAAAGTGTTAACAGCTTCAATCTCTTCATCCATCATGGCAATTTCAATGGACCCAGTGGTGAGAATATCTGTCTTCTTGATACTGAACTTGCCTATGTGTTGGGGGCAATCTGATCTGTGCCGTCAGTCCATCAGGTTAGGTCCATGTACGTATATACTTGGGGTTTGGGTTTTTAACAAAGGCATTTGCAATGAATAAATCATTAACTGTACCAAGTGCTATCATTTGTTCTCCAGCCTCATTTCTGTAACTAAGCCCTTATTTTTCAACTACCATTCTTTCTCCTTGTTTCTGACTTTTGCATCTCAGTCACCAATTACTATTGATTCAATTTTATTAAATGTTTGATCAATTTCAGACTACAGAGTTGTCAGAAATCCTATATTTATTGGTCTTTGGTTTCAGTGGTTGATGATTATATTTCATAATAGTTGTAGCAACAGGTCTTTTTTCGGTGTTACAGATGCTGCCTTATCACTCACAGTACTATACTTCAGAATAGATCTCGAAGTGCTCTTTTTTTGAAGGACACTATTCCTTAAGTCTTAAAAGAAGATGGAAGGAGTATACAGATCATTGTACCAAAAGGAATTGGCTGACATGGAAGAATTTAAAGAAACAACATATGAGCAAGAGGCAATGGTGATGAAGGAGGAAGTGCAGGCTGCTCTGAAGGAGTTGGCAAAAATAAAGCCCCAGGATTTGATGGAATGTTAATTTATGTATTTCAGTAAACAGATGCTGCTCTACATTTGCTCACCAAGTTGTGCCAAGAAAGCTGGAGGACAACTACTTGGCCAACTGACTGGTAGAGATCCATATTTATTCCCATTCCAAAAAAAAGGTGACCCTTCAGAGTGTGGAAATTATCAAACAACATCACTAATACCATACACTAGCAAAATCCTGCTGAAGATTATGCAGAAAACACTTGAACAGTACATTGACAGAGAAGTACGAGAAATAAAAGCTAGGCTTAGAAGAGGTCGTGGCACTAGGGACATTACGGCCAGTGTCAGATGGATCTTGGCAGAAGGCAGAGAGTACCAGAAAAGTGTCTATCATTGTTTCATAGACTATGCAAAGACGTTAGACTTTGTGGATCGCCACAAATTATGGCTAATCTTGGAGAAAACAGAAATCCCAGAACACTTGATCATGCTTATATGAAACCTAAACTCGGACCAAGAAGTAGTCCTCAGAAGAGAGCAAGTAATACTGCATGGTTCAAAATCAGAAAGAAGTGTGTCAGGGATGCATCCTGTCCCCATACCTTTTCAATCTGTATGCAGAACAGATCATATGGGGAGTAGGACTTTATGAGGAGTGTAGCATCAAGATTGGAGGAAGATGATATGCAGATGACAAAATCTTGCTTGATGAAACTGAAGACTTGAAGCACTTGCAAAAGGTCAAGGACGCGCGGCCGGAACCCAGCGTAGCGCTGGAATTTTAATCACACACAGGCTGAATCCCAGCCAAAAGATGCCAGCCAAGCCACTGTGGAACTTGTGACTCCGGAAAGCAACCAAATGCACCCAGCCTCCACGAGACCCTGGAGGAGCAACAACCCGCCTGCCACTGTGCAACCCCAGAGGAGCAACCATCCCTGACTGCCATGTGACCCCAGAGGAGAGACAGCCGGCCACTGCATGACCCCTCCGCGGCCTGCCATCGTGTGACCCACCCCCACAACCTGCTGCTGCATAAAACTCTGGTCATGCCCTAGCCCTGTGCCCTGCCTCCCAGTGGTTGTGTCCCAGCCCCGTGCCGCCTACCCACCCCAGCCCCGTGCTCCCGCACCCCCCACAACCCTGTGTTTTCTCTTCTCCACCGCGACTCCATAACCACACACTTCCACCACAGCCCTGCGACCCGATGGTGCCCAAGGGCCACTAGAAAGTCCTTCACACTGCACAGAGACCAACCAATGCGAAGAGCCATGGACAGTAGGATTTTGAATCAGGACTTTTGTTGCAGCAGGTTCTTTTGGAGCTACAGGACCACAAAGCCACACCACGGATCCAGCCATTGCCCAGAGCCACCAGCAGAGCTGCTGTGGGACTAATCTAGCAGGAGAAAGGCCTATATGATCCTGATTGGGTTTTCTGGGGCAGTGCTGATTACCTGGGAGAGCACCCAAGGGTGTGTCTACTGGTGGGGAATTTGGCTGAGCTCTCTTGTGCCATGCTGACTGCCCAGGAACAAGCCAGCCAATGGTAATCTGTCTGAACTTTTGTTGACTCTGCACACCAGCCAAAGGCGGGTGGGTCGCTGGGAATTTGACTCTTGACTTTTCAGGTACCATTGGACCCAGGACCTGCTTGGACAGGGGCTGCTGCATGAGGGCACCTGCATGAGTGCCACTGGGCAGGGACTACTGAGTGAAAACCAATGAGTTGGAAACAGACAGTGGGAATTTGAGAAGGGACCCCAATCGTGA